CTCCCCCCCTCCTGAACCTTCCCCTCTCTTCTTGCAGGCTCTGAGCAACACCGGGCAGAAGGACCTAACTACGGAGCAGGATTTGGCTAAGGAAATGTAAGAGGCAATTGTGCTCCCCACACCTTTGGGCACCTGCATCTGACTTGTAAAAAACAACAAAGCAGCACCGCAAAATGTAAAGCATTTCAGGGGGCAATAAGTTTCTGTCGTTGCTTGGTGGTCCCCAAAATTAAAAGTCTCCCAGCTCTGTCTTCCCCCAAAGTCACCCAAACTCTTTAAGCATTGGCTGGTTTCCCTTTGCTGGCAGCAGTGGGGAGCTGTGGGTGCTGCAGTGCTGATGTCCCGGACACATCTGACCCGGATAAATGAGCCTGTTTGCTCTCTAATTGTAGCCTCCTGGGGTGGGCGTGTCTCGGCAGGCTCCCTGCACCCTGATGGGACAGGAGGGGATTTAGGAACCCTGATGTGCTGCGACCCCTCCTCACCGATTTTGCTCCCCTCTTCCAGCACCCTGGGCATACAAGCCATGGAGCTGCTGGAGGACAGTGAGATCTCTGAAGAGGTGGAACCAGGTATCAAGGTCTTCTCCAGCAGTGCCGGGGCTCGACGGGGCCCCCACCAAGCCCAGGAGGGACCAGAGGAGGACCGTGACCACCTCCACCACCCCCAGGATGATGCCAGGGAGGCTGATGCCCATGGGCCACCCCGGATGCTGTCCCTGGAGGTGCAGAGCGGCCCAGAGGAGGACCGTGACCATCTCCACCACAGCTGAGTGATGTGCCTGGGCTGCAAAGTGTGGGTTGGGAGCCACACCTGGGGCTTCTCGATGAGACTCATCCCTCCCTCCCCACCCTTGAGGCCCCTCCAATAAATGCATTCCCGCCTCCACATCCTGGTGGGCTCCTCATTGCTGCCAGAAACCTACCACTAATTGCAGGGCGCTCAAATCTGGGGGATGCCCCTCCTTGGGCTCACCCCAAACCCCAAGCAGGGTGAGGATGAAACCTTGGGGGGTGGGGGACTCAGCCAATCACCCTGGCCTCTATTTGGCCCAAGTGGGGCTGAGGCTGAGCAAACTCAGCACATCCATGTTGCGCCCAAGAAGGTGCTGTAGGCCGTCCCCTCCCCAGGGGACACATGGACCCATTGCTCTGTGAGGCTGCTCTTGCCCAGCCCAGCATCATACAGCAGTGTGATGGAGTGAGTGCGGGGAGTGTCTCCGTGAACCCAAACATCTCCCAGCTCAGGGGGGACCCTGCAGCAAGGATGCCCCATCTGCCAGCAGCGCCAGGAAAACCTTTTAATAGTGATGGCAAAGGTGGTCCCCGCTGCTGGTCGTCTCACTCCAGGCAAGTATTGCTCACTGCCGGGTCCTGGACTCCCTCTGTGAGGGGATGCAGGGGACTGATGGGCAGCAGGCGGCCACGGGGACCTACACCACGCTGGGCTCAGCTGTCGGTGAAGTTCGCCTTGCGTTTCTCCACAAATGCTGTCATCCCCTCCCTGCGGTCATTCTGTGAGGAGCGGAGAGGTGAGGTTGGGGGGGCTGTGGCAGCCCTGCTCTCCCCCCTGGCAATGGGGCTGACCCCCCCTACTCACGGTGGCGAAGGTGGCGTAAAAAAGGCGCTTTTCTGTCCTGGTCCCCTCTGCCAGCGTCGTCTCGAAGGCTGAGAGCAAGGGAGACCGTCCTGCCTCACCCCACAGCCTCCCCGGGGGATTTCCCGCTTGGCCCCCCCAGCCCCTACCAGCGTTGACCGACTCCTTCGCCATGGCGGCCACCACCTTAGAGTTGCTGGCGATCTTCTCAGCGCAGGCAATGGCTGCGTCCAGCAGCTTCTCCGTGGCAAAGACCTTGCTGACCAGACCTAGGATGGACAGTGGGCAGGTAGGGGGTGTGGGGGGATGGCTCCCCACCAGCCCCCTGGGGTGCTGGGGCTGGTGCCCGCCCCTACCTGCCTCTTTTGCCTCTGCTGCCGAAATTCGGTCCCCGGTGAGGACCATCTCCATTGCCAGCGACTTCCCCACTGCCCTAGTCAACCTCTGCGTCCCTCCGGCGCCTGGAGCCATTTGGGGAAGGCAAAAGTGCAGAGAGGGATACCCGGGTGTCCCCACTGTGCCCACTATGGCCAGGATGGAATCCCACCCCCCGCCTTGGCGGGTGCCCCCTGCGCACCTGGGATGGTCCCCAGTAGGATTTCGGGTTGCCCAAACTCCGCCTTCTCCCCAGCGTAGATGATGTCACAC